TAGAGAGAAAGGAAACCAAAAGAGGTCTTATGAAAAAGAAGAGCAGTTAATATTTCAGTTTGATGTTAACATACTTGAGGAATCCATTTTGCTTTGGTTAATAAGGGTAACTTATTATTTAAAGTGCCCAGCCCCTGTGCCTGCCGGTCCAAGTGCAGCCTTTGCTGTCTGCCTCCTGTCTCCCACACCCCCATGTACCTGTCCTTGCTCCATTCTGTTTCACTCTGTGTGGTAAACATTAGTTTGATCTGACTCCAGGAGCTCTCCATGGTGAAAACTGGGCGATTTCTCTTGTGAACTATCTCCTGAACTTGTGGAATTCACCCTCAGAGCCTTGTAGGCAGAATCTGTGTCTTTTCTTGACTCTAGTCAGAAATTAAAAGATTTCTTACCACTAAGGTTCTGAAGAGATCAGAGAAAGTTTCACAGTCACTTGTTGCATTTATATTTTTATGTATGAGCCCTATTTAAAAACATGTCTAAATATGATGTTAATGGTAAATTGATGTGAAAACAGTTTAACAGATTAAATGTTTGTTATATATCCAGCATGTGTGCACCAAGCTGCAGAAATAAGAATTTGAGGGGATGGGAGTCTCTGCACTTTAAAGCAAGTGCTTTGGATCTAGGATTTTTTTTCAAGTTGATCTTATCCAGTTTCAAGCACATTATCTGGTATTAATGTTCAATAAATATTTAATACATTTACTTTTTCTTTTAGAGTCTGTTTTCAAACATACACACTAAAAAATTCAAATTTATTTTAAGTAGATATATATGTCTTATCTTGAGAGCTATAAAAAATCCAGAGAAACAGGAAGATTGGTAGTGAAACAAAAAAATGTGGATATGAATGTGAAAGATGATGAACAAATAATAGATTATAAATGCATGACTCCTATTCATCAGCCCACAATGACCATTGCAATTTCATGAGGATTAAAGCATGTGCCTTCTTTAGTCTGATTAAAATGTGTGGCTCGATCATCAATATATCTGAGGGCTAGAAGAACTGAATATAGATTAAGCCCCAAATGTTGCCTAAAGGACATGGAGTCCATGGATAACTAGTGCTGTGTTTCATGAAATTATCTGAATTTTGATATTCTACCTAAATAAATAAATGTTCTGAAATAAGTGAATGATTTATGTATTTATTGACTTTAATTTGTCATAAGGTATAATTTTTGTATATTTTTTAGATATTTGTAAGGATCTTGTTCTTTAGTTACTCTTGTTAGAGCATTCCTAAACTACTTAATTTGACTTTATCTCTGCCATATGTTTTACATATTTTCTGTCATGACTACAATGACCAAGATATGACAAAATTTGGTAGGGTTTTGTTTTTGTTGTTGTTGCTCTTAGGCTTCATATGCAAAAGAGTAATCCATCTTCAATTCATTTTCTTTCTTCTTATCCTAATTTATTTTCCATCACATCACCTATCACTACTTGAATTTATGGGATATATTCATATATTCACTTGTGTATTGTTTGCCTCTCCATGGAAAAGTCATATTTCCAGGGTTTGTTCATTAACAAATCAGAAGCAGCTTGAGCTTTAATGAAAAAGAAAACTTCTTAATAGAAGTGAATTTGGCTTGTATTTTAATATTTAATATGTATATCTAAATTGCAATATGTCTATTAATTTTATGGCACATTTACAACCTAATAACTGCTTAGTTAACAAAGCTGATTAACTCTGGATCTATAATATTTATAGATAATCTTACTCTAATAAGTTGGTTCAGCTTTAAAGGAGTCTCATTAGGTTTTCAAGGCTTGATGAGTCTATATACCAATTCACATTTAAGATTTAACTAGTAATTGTAGGAAATTCATTACACAGCTATTGCAAATTCTAATTAAGATAGCTTAAAATAAGATTATATAGGCTTATTAAATTCAGTATTTGTTTACATTTACATTATAAATTTGTGATTATTTTTATAATTCTGAATGTACAATGAATATATATGTTTTCCCACTAGCTATCTAGACAAGCTATAGCAACTGATGCCAGCAGGTGGTGTCTGACAAACAGAAAGTCTTCAATCATTTCCTAACACATTCATATCTCTCTTTTATGAACCCTTCTTTCTTTTCTTACTTAGATGCTTCAATTTCTTCTCTAAGCTCTCCTAATTCTGAACTTATTTGAGACAATAAAAAAGATTTGGCAGAACAATGTCCATTAATGACACATACAACATTGTGCCTGTGATTTCCATAGATTCACAGATCTCTTGAGTCTTGTCCAGAGACCATATAGGGATCATTGACTTCATATCAGCAGCTCTTCTCTTATATCATTAGTTTCTCTATATTGTTCTCTAGATTGCCTTTATTTTAGCACCCAACCCTTTAATGTGTCAGCTATGCATACCGAAGTTATTGGCCCTCTTTATACAATGTTGTATTGGGGGGAATGGGCCAAGAAAAATGTTCAGGTATGCTATGTTGCTTACAAAAACAGCTCCAGGACAATATTTCAGGTAAGTTTATGATCATAAGATTCTCAAGGTTGAGTACACTAGCCTATCATATATGTATAATTCTGTATGAATGGTAAATGTGGCTATGTACTAAAGATGGAATATTGTAATAACAGCCATTCAGATAAGACTTAAACAATAGGAAAAACCAAGTTAGAGAAATGGATAAAAAACAAAGATGCACTATAACCAGTCCTTTTTTAATATTTTTTTTGTTTCATGTAAAATAAAACAAAATTTCATAACAAGATACTAAAAGAATAACAATAGCCAATAGACTATCATTATTTTCAAAATAGTTAATCTGAGTACAAGACATAGACAAAAAAGATTGTCTCTTACAAAAAAGAAATAGATAATAGCACAAAACTTTCTTTTCAGTGAATTAAGAAAAACTGGTATTATAAATGAAACTAATTAGCACATATATTCTTGTTGATATGTTTTACTTAGCAGATATCTAGTAACAGCCACACCTCCTGATAGATGTCTATTGATAACAACCATGTGCCTGTCCCAGTGGTGAAAGAAAAATGGATGAATTCAGGCTTGAGAATCAAAATTGAGAGTCAGTTATTTGAAGGGTGTAGAAAATCATTGGGTTGGTTAAAAAATTAAAAAATTTCTAACCCTTTCTAATTCATTCAAATCAAATCTAATGCTATGTAGGTTATTGGCATTAGGCCAGAAATCTTGCTTTGTATTAGAAGATGGGAGGAATATAATTTCTAACTCATAGTTTAATACTCTTCTTTACATTTAATTCAGATATGCACATATTTTTCTGATATAATGGGGCATCTATGCAGGACATCACCACTTTTTTATGTCAGAGGTAATATCACAACCCGTAATTTAAAGATAGAGAAAAATAAAGGTGAAAACAACTTTTCAAGACAAACATTTGAGAGAGAACTTTGTGAACTGAATTGTCTGAGTAAAGGATTCAATGAGGATTGCAGAAAAAATTCTCCTTTATTGAGTATTCTAGAAAGAAATAAAAACTCACTGAAGCTAGGAAGAAAATAAAAGCACCAACATTTGCAATAAATAGCTCTGATTATTATTATGACTAAATGAAAGAAAATGAAAGTTGACATTTCTCTATTTTATATTTCAGAACTAAAGATCGAACAATGCATAAAGATAAAGGTCTACAGGACTTCGTAAGTCTGGTATTAAAAATAAAATTACTTTCATTGGCAAGTGAAATTGATCTGGCATTTCAAAAAAGAAGATAACTGGATTTTAAAAAATGAGTTTCTTCTCCTTTATACGGGACACTTGAACTATTTAAATAATTTGGAAGTTATTTCTCATGGAAATTGAATCAATTTTATATATGCCTGAAGCACACTAATGAGTATTCTCAACTTCTTCCCCTCTAGCCAAGCGATAAGTGAAAGGAAAGAACTTCTGCAAGTTATTACATTGTAGAAAGTACAATTGTCTCTTTGAGAAAAAAAGTTAATTGGTTGTTGTTAAATTTAATATAGGAAATACCAAGTTACTGTGGTTATGGCATGGATAGAAAAGTCTTCATGGTGATTGGCTAATGACACTTAGAGAAAGTTTAAATTCTTGTCACATTTTAACTCATGAGTATTTAAATCCATTTTCTCATCTTGATTGAGACCAAACTCTCATAGTGCTTTTCACCCCAACTTCCCCGACATTTTCATTTTTTGTTTTGTGTTGTGTTCATTGCAGTTGCTATTGACAAAAAATAGTTAACATCAAATAGCTTTTTCTCTTAAATATGATCTGGACATTTCAACCCTATGGTACTTCATTTCTACCAATGTATGGATGCTTAAGACCAATCTGCCACCATTTCAAGTATCAGGGCTCTGAGTGAAATCAGTTATGTGTACTTTCAAGTTCACAAATTGTAATAGTTTAAAAAATTAAAGGAAAAATCTAAAATAAATAATAATCAATCATAGTTCTCCACTATAAACTTAAATGGTTCTAAACCAAGATTTTCCTTTATATTCCACATCAACTCCATTTCTTATAGTCCATTCATTATACATTTAATAGTTTTCTTGATGACTATGTCTTTCTAGTATATCACAAGTCCCCCCTCTATAATTCTTAACAGCTAGCCACTTGCTGTTCAATAATATAGTAAGTCAAGACTTACAGGTTATGACCTTAGACTTATTTCTCCATTGGTTTTACCAGCAAGAAGATGGTAACCACCTAGTGTTCAGAAAACAATCAAACCAAACCCAAGGCAAGTATAATAACACTCTAATTTTAAAACAGAGCAATTAAGTTTTTAATGGACAGATAAAATTGTACTTAGAGGGTACAACATAATGTTTTGAATTTATATACACTGTAGAATTGTTAAACCTTGCTATTCTTTAGCCACTGTGGAGTCTATCAATTTTATATGTAAAATTACTATAATGATTTCATCAAGATCATGTGCTTGGTTTTACTTTCCCTTTTAATGATTAAAATAGAGTACTAGAAGACATCTCATCTCACCTTCCTGCAGGGCTAGAGCCACTATCTTCATTTTCCCATTGTTCATTTTTACTTCTTGGAACTGGGGGCTGTAGCATTTCAGCAGCTAGTGGATCAGCATCATTTTCTTCTCTACCAATCCATTCTCCAATCACACGAGGCCTCAGAAGAGAAGAATTAAAAGCCACTGTTTCCTGAAGAGAAGAAAAGAAGGTGCTGCCTTCAGTTGCTTTTTCTAGTTAAGAGATAACAGGGAAATAACCTTCTCTAAAGTTATGACTGCTCATTCTGACCAAAATGCTTCCTTTTATCTCTCTGATTTGATATGAAAAGTCAGTTCTCTCCATATCCACTGAAGTGAGGTAACTCATTCAATTATACAACTTGGGTATGATGTAGCTATGAAAATACTGAGTACATGTGAATACAGAATACTGGATACAGATGATTTCTAGGGGTGTATTAAGTGAAAAAAAAGATAAAGCATTATCCATAATGTGATCTAATTGTTAAAAAATCATACATGAGTATTTCTACCATCCATTCACTAATTCATAAATGTATTCTTTCTCTAATATTTATGAAGGCTTGGTATTGCAAAGAACTGTATGATATTCCAGGACAATAATGAATAACACCAAAATATTTGGTTTTTGTTTGTTTTTGAGACAGGGTCTCACTATGTAGTCTAGGCTGGACTTGGACTCACTATGTAGCCCAGGTTGACCTCGAACTTGTGGCAATCCTCTTGCCTCAGCCTTCCGAATGTTTGGATTATAGGCATGCACTACCATGCCCAGCTAAGAATAAGATTTAAGAAGTTTAATCTGAATGTAGGAGCTACAGGTGATTTTAAGTATTTCCATGTCTTTTCAATATTTTATTAATAAATATGTACTTGTCTGGCCATTTTTTAATACCTTGATCTGAGAAACACATGTTATTTAAGTTACGTTTAGTAAAGTTTTGGTATAGAGTCTTAAACAATTCCTTAAGAATTCAGATGTGTTCTGAATCACTACAATTCCTAAAAATAGTATGTGACTTTAATTCATAATTCAATACAAACTTAACATTATAATCCATAAATTTAATAAATAGTTAACATATAAGCACAATATAAAAACACATAAAACAGGATTTAGAACATGTTTGAAAAGCATTTCTCTAAGTGATGACAAAAAGTTGGATATCTTAATATTGTTTAAGCCTACACGAAAATATAGCAGGTTAACTGTAGTATCAGTGTTTTTATAATAACAAATTCAAACAACAAATTCTGAGTCAAGAAAACAAAGAACTCCAGTGAATTTCAGCTGTCAAATCATGCAAACAATTTAATGTTTTGAAATAACTAGAAAAGAGTATTCATTTGCCACAATCTAATTGCATTCAAAGAAAAGTAATGAAAATTATAAGGTAATCTATATTTAAATCTATATTTTTAAAAGCAGCTTAGGGCAAAGACTTGTTTTAGAATAAAAAACAAAAACAAAAACAAAAGCAAAAATACTATGGGCCGGGGATTTAGCGCAGTGGTTTTGCAACCTGCTGTGCAAGTGCAAGGACCCAAGTTCGATCCCCAGTACCAAAAAACAAACAAACAAAAACAAACTATGAACATATCTTCAGCTTCAGAATCCATTTTGACCTATTTTTCTTTGAAATTTTATTCTTTGAATATCATTTTCTCCAACTGTAAAATGGAAATGATGGGAATTATAAAACTTTTATGTCAAATGAGTCAGTATGTAACATAGTGAAACTATGAAATTCCGTGTATATGCTAGATATAGTTATTTAAGGACACAGATCCTGTTCAAACCATTTCTATATATGTGATATGTCTGGAAGTAAAATGGGAAACAGAATTGCCAAATTGGTGGAGTTGGGTAAGAAATGCTTGGTTGTCAATATGAGTAGAAGAATAGTAGGGAATTGATGGTGTAGGTTTCCACTGCATAAAGTTTTATTTCATGAAGTATCAAACAGGTTGGATAATTAATTCAATGTGATTAATCTTAACTGCATAATGGGTTAGAATTGGGCTAGCAGGTTTGTCTTGCTCTAAATTCAACAATAGCATAAGAACTGGTAAAAAGAAACTAACCATAGGGCTGGGGATTTAGCTCAGTGGTTCTGGCACCTGCCTCGCAAGTACAAGGACCCGAGTTCAATCCCTGGTACCAAAAAAAAAGAGAAACTAACCATTGAAACAACAGAAATGAATGGGTTTAGGCACTGCAAACAAAAAGAAATGAAATACAGTTCAGAGTTAGGTATGAAAAAAAAAAAGGTTGAGAACTGCAGAGAATCAGAAATAACTGCTTGATTGCTAACTGGGAAATTAAATAAAATGAGAGACACCACTGCTGTTGGAAAGTAGAGCACAGAGGGAAGGATAAATGTTTGATATTCAGGATGTTTAACTCCAACTGGCAGCAAAAGTTTAATGAGAAGTAGCCCAGGAGCAAGGCAACATGAAAAGCTTTTGCAAACAGGGTCAAGGGAGTTAGAAAGTCACTATTTTACAAGTGAAAAGATAGGACTCTATGACTTTTACATTTCTGCACAAACCTCTTTATGTGTTAGTTTTGATGAAAGAAGAAGGAAAGAGTAATTTCTCCTTTAGAAAGTGTTGTCTCTCTGAAAATTCTCAAATCTAGTCTATTTACATGTAGATTAAAATATCAGACTTATCATTGGCTATATTATTTAGATTTGATTAAGCTAAGTAAGCATCTTTCCATATATCTCTCTCAAAGAGCTCTAGTGAAGAGACCAATGCATAATGTTACATTCATCAGACTACAAACATCAGTATCTAGCAAGATGAATGCAAAGAAGCACATTGAACACACAATATTTTCAAAAATATCTTAAGCACATGGTAAACAAGTTATTCAAAATTTCATGGATAATCTTTGTAAATCAGAATATTTAGAAATGTAAAAAGTACATTTTCTTTGCCCTTTCCAAATTAGAGGTTCTTAGATATTGAGGTTATTAAGCAAGCATAGTTAAATTTAACGAGCAAAGGAGTTTTAGTCAGACAATCTCCTAAAGGTCATCGATTTGCTTAGGGCAATCCATCAACATCCAGCTCACATGTCTAGGAGCTACATATTGTATCCCAGATCAACTCTTTCCAGGAAGGCTGTTCTCTATGGCTAACTAACAGTGAATTCAACTGCTCTGACCTTGGGCTAAATCCTGTTACAGTTTGGACTTTTTAATTAAGTTTACTGGTACATTTTAGGCACACATAATGATCACATACAACATAGAGTATCTGTACCTGTACATGATATATCTTGGTTCTTACATTTTCCCATTCCACTTTCCCTCCCTTCAACCCCTCCACCCCTCCTTATTTTCAAAAGCTTTGTTTCCATCTTTTCCTTTTCTCATTTTTTCTTCTCCCTTCCTTTCTGTCCCCCATCCTCCTCACTAGTTCCCCTTTTGAAAAATTTCTTCCTGTTTCACAATATATATCACACATTTTGATCATCATTTACACTTTTGGTTTCTCACACCAGAGAAACAATGCACTATTTACACAGGTGTGTCCAATTTATTTCACTTAAGCGTATGGTCTCAAGGTGTATCCATTTAGCTATAAATGCATCAAGTTTACCTTTATGGCTGTATTAAAAAACTATATCTTTATCCATTCATCAGTTGATGGGCATTTGGGCTGTTTCCAAGATTTAAATATTATAAGCTATGCAGCTATAAACATGGTTATATCCATGCATATATATCTAGTGCTATGATGCTTTTAATTCTTTTGGAAAGATACCAAGCAGGGGAATAGCTAGGTCAAATGGAACCTCTAGTTTTAGCTTTTTGAGGAATCTCCACGCTAATTTCCACAGTGCTGCACCAGTCTACACTCCCACCAACAGTGGAGAAGATTCCCTTTTTTCTTACAGCCCCACCAGCATTTGTTATTGGTTGATTTCTTGATAGCAGCCATTCTTTCTGCAGTGAGATGGAATCTTAGTGTTGTTCTCATTTGCATCTCATGAATGAAGAGTGATGTTGAACATTTTTTCATATATTTGTTTGCTGTTTCTACTTCAGTTAAGAAGTGTCTATGCATTTCAGATGCCCATTTTTGGATTGAATCTTTAAATTTGGGAGGTCTGATTTTTTAGAGTTCCTTATATATTCTAGATAGTAGGTCTTGGTCTGAGGAATAGCCGGTAAAAATGTTTTCCCACATTGTGGGTTGTCTCTTCATGCTTTTGGTGGTTTTTCTTGCTGTGCAAAAGCTCTTTAATGAGATCCCAGTTGTTGATTGTTTGTGATAGTTCTCATGTGACTGACGTTTTGTTCATAAAGAATTTTCCTATGCCAATATCTTCAAGAGTTCTACCTAACCTATCTTCCAGCAGATTTAGTGCTTCTGTTTTATTTCTTAAATTTTATTTTATTGGTACATTTTAGGTATACAATATAATGACATTCATCATTGAAAATTTGCACCTTCACATAATCCATCTTGGTTCTTATTTTCCCCCCTTCCCCTGCCCTCCATTCAACCCCTCCATCCCTCCCTATTTACAAAGACTTTGTTTCCATTTTTTCATTTTCTCATATTAATTCCATTCCCTTCTTTCCTTCCCCTACCTCTCCCACTTCCCCTTCCGCTTTGCCCCTTTTCTTCCTATTTCACAGTATCTATTATACCTTTTAGTTCTTATTTACACTTTCAGTTTCTCACACTAGAGAAACTATTCGGTATTTACACGTGTGCCCTATTTATTTTACTTAAGGGTAACACCTCAATGTGCATCCATTTAGCTATGAATGTCTCTAATGTCTCATTTTTTATGGCTGAGTAGTACTCCATTTTATAAAAAAACCACATATTCTTCATCCAGTCTCCAGATGATGGGCATTTGGGCTGTTTCCAAGTTTTAGCTATTACAAACTGTGCTGCTATGAACACAGGTGCACATGTATCACTGTGGTATGATTCTTTTAATTCTTTGGGGAAGATACCCAGTAGGGGAATAGCTGGGTCAAATGGGACTTCCAGTCCTAGTTCTTTGAAGTTTCTCCATACTGATTTCCACAGTGGTTGCACCAGTCTGTACTCCTACCCACAGTGGAGCAGCATTCCTCTTTCCCCACAGCCCCACCAGCATTTGTTACTGGTTGATTTCATGATAGCAGCCAATCTTTC